GCACAAGGAATTCGTGCAAACGTAGACAGGAACTTAACTTATATAAAGTTTACAAGCTTCACAAATGTTAATAATGAAGAATATACAAACAAAAAAGTCACCAAACTGAACCTTAAATCGTATTAAAGAAGAAGAACTTGATGTATGGTTTTAAAAACAGAAACAAATTTGAGAAACCCAGCTGTGTTCCAGGATGAGGCAACCTAGACTTGCGAGCCGAGCTTAAAGGCTCGAAATCATTTGCTGAGCTTGCTAACTTTAACTAAAACACAAAGCAATAATTATTGTCATAAATAAGCTACTTATCTGCACGCATACAGCTTGTGCGAACTTTTGATGCCACCCTCGTTGTTCATCCCCCGTGCGGCATGGCGGACATGGCGTGTCAAAGAGACTGCGTGCCAGGCGAGTCGCTGTAGCGTTCGCCTTCAATGCCGACGCATCGCCTGCTGTTGCCTTTTTGGCCGTGGCACACAATTGAAAATTGGCTCAACTCGACTCTCGAGTCGTCATAGCTGGGGTGTCGGACACGTAGTCAGAGTCGGAGTCGGAGTCGGAGGCGACTTCAAGTTCGGCTGTGGCACTGGGTAATTGGATCCCGTGAGCAACTGTTTGCTTTCTGGGCATTGTTGCCTTTTGTTCTGGCCATTAACGTGTGCAATGCGCTGGCTGGATTTAGGCACAAGTTGAATGTGCCGCTGGCACCTCGCACAGCTTGCGGTCCATTTGGCAACCAGGGGTAAACCTGGATGGGCTGCTCATGTAGCCGTAGGCGCAGTTTAGTCACACTTCAGTTGCCAGTTGCCCGTTGCAAGTTGTCGATGTCGCAATTGCAATCATAGTCCGTTACGAAAGTTGGCCACGTGCCGCGTAAACAAAGGCTTGACTTTTGGCGCTTCCAGAGCTCACTCCCAGGCTGGCCTCAAAGCAGGGAAGGGACCACACACGTTTAACAAATTCCAGACACTTGGCTAACGGCACTTGGCCCTGGCGCCCCAAAAACAAAAGAAAAAAAAAACCAAATAAAAGTATCGGCTTACCACGCTCTGTGAGAACCTTTTGACATTGGCGTGTGCCTGGGCAACGACTCCACATGGCCACTTGGCGAGAGATTCAGCTGATTGCGCTGCACAGTTAGAATTGATTGAAAATTGGTAAACCGCAAATGCAATTGCGCAGCGAATTGCAAATCGAAGATGATGCCGAAACTGAATTTCCTTGGCCCTGCATCTTAATCCAAAGCTGCCGCCGGCTCGACATCGCCAGCCTCAGCTGCATCTGTATCTGAATCTGAGGCAAACGCATGCAAAATTGGGCCGCAGGTTCAAAACCAGTAGCCGCCACTGCTGCTGCTGCTGCTGCTGCTGTTGCTGTTGCTGTTGCTGTAAGCCGCAGTCGCAGCCGCAGTAATTTGCAGCGTTTAACTGGCGACGGGGGCCAACGGCAAATCGATTTCTGTAGCTGCTGGCGCCACAAAGCCATTTACAATATATATGTATGTATATATATTTACTCTTAAAGGCAGCTGGTGAGGTGGGCGGCAGGGCTGCGGCAGCTGTGACTCAATATTGATTTAGACTTAACCTTGCTGCAAGCGTTGCTCCCGAACCCTTGACCTTCAGCTACATAAATTTCGCAAAGCTTCCGTTCGCATCTTTCACGATGGTGGGTTGGGCATATACGCTGCCTTCCGGCCCTTGATTGAGGGCTGCGTGTGCGCAGTTGTCAACAAAATTTGATAAACACGCATTTAAGCGCACAAATTTATTGATAACGGAAGCGGGAACGTCCAACGTCCAACGGCTGCGACTTGCGGCCATTGTGCGCAACAAATTGCCTGTGTAATCAAAGCCAACCCCCCCCAGCCGAGCCCCGTGCTAACTGTCTCCACGGCCTCCTTTTACTACTTAGTATGCAGCAGTTAGTCGACTTGTGTCCTGTGACAAATTAGCCCAACAATGCAGCAGCAGCAGCGCGACATAAAAAACTCGCAGGAACTGAGCAGCATAACAAAAGTTGTCAATTAGCCAGGAAGAGAAGCAGAAGCAGCAGCAGAAGAAGAAGAAGACGCGACGACGCTTAACGCATTGCAGCAGCTTCCGGTGTGAAAGCATTTTGTCAGCTTGGACGCACAAAGCAGTCCACATAAAACGTATCTGCTCTCAAGATGGCCAAAAATTCTATAAAAATAACAAAAAAAAAAAAAGAGGAAGACGGCCCAAGTTGCTTTTTTCAATTATTCCCCACAATTTCAATGACAGTTTGTACGATTCCGGCAACTAAATCGATTGAAAAGAGTCCCTTATATTGGCTTTACGCTCAATCAATATGCTAATGCCTCGATTCTTATCCAATCAACTGTGATATGACAACAAAATTATGCAAAGAGCTTTCAACTTGGGAGCAGTTACTGTGTCACCATTGGGTACCGAAACACGCAAATCTAGATTAGTACTATATACAGACTGACTGACTGACTGACTGACTGACAGACTGACTTACTGAGTGGTTGACAGACTGACTGGCTGACAGACTGATGATTAATGCAATTACAAGCTGCATTTTTACTTTAGTTAACCCATCGGATGTCACTAAGACGAGTTTTCGAATAATTCCACGCACAAATGTGGAAAATTGGTGGAAAATCGCTTTATGTAACTTTTTGTCTATCAACCGATAGGCTTCAAACTCATTTTCAAAGATCTGGGTGACGTGTTTCGTACTTTTAAGCATTTACGCTCCGCTAGATCCAAATCGGAGTTGAAACTAGTAGACGCGAGTTGAAAATTTTCCACGGGCGAAAAATTGATGGATATGGAAGTGATATAAGGATAAGAGCTAGGCCTGCTAAGGCCAGATAATATACGTTGCACATGTTTTCTTAAACCCAACGTAAGCCAAACTTGCCTCATTTTTTTGTGTCTATTTATATACATACAGAATGTATTTGGTAAACTAATAAACTTTATTTTCATTTATACTAGGGCACTATATTTCTTTCTCTCGCATTCTCTCTCTCAGTCCATCTCTCTCACTTTCCTATTTGATTACTCTTTGTTCATCCTGTTCTAATTCTAGCGCGCTCGCTTCCTCTTTTGTTTTTCTAGTAATGGATTTATATATAAATGTCCATCTCCTCTCGCCTTCATATGGATAACAATTAAAAAATCATGGGTAAGTTTATATTAAACTATATATATATGCATATCTAAAACAAAAATATTTGTTAAACCAATGCGAACCTGGGCTAGCTCTATCTCCTTGTATTATTATTTAAAGCAATAATCCGACTAAATTTATAATTGAGTTCACATTAGAGGGTCATTTGTTAATCTATTTCAAAGTGAGACCAAGTGCAGAATATTGGTGAAAACTGTCGATTGCTACATCTTCGTTATTCATTCGTTCAAGCTCAAACTTAATCGGAATAAGACCTCATAGGTAATAATGCTGGCAAATGGTATAACAGCATATGCATGAAATGTGTGGAAAGTGTTGTTAAAAGTGGCTAACTAAAACGATTTGTTAAATGACAAGCGCTGGTTACATTTGTTTCGGGATCCTGATTTCATTGATGCCGGAAGATTAAAATCTATAATATGCTATATGGTATAAATCTGAGAAAGGAAAGCGAATGTCTTAATTAGTGGCACAGTCTGAGGCCATTACAAAATCCTTTACGCACATTTCGGCTGCAGCTTTTGATGCTGATGCGGATGCTGATGGCTAACGAATTGTAATGGCTGTGAAAAGTTTCGCACGGTCGTGCGGCACTCATAAATTTATGAGTGGCACTCATAAAAATTCAAATCGGTTGGCAAGAAAACCGCAACAAATAATCAATTTGTTACAGAGGCGAGGCGTTACGCCCCGGCCGACTCCCAGGATCCGGACCGTGGGCCGACAGCCAAAAGACCCAGTTGATACGGTCTACGCACAATATCGAACCCTCTCGCAGACACACTTGACAAGGACTTGGACGACGTTGCGTTCTCCACTTCACGCAGCAGCCACCAGTTTCCAGATCAGGCGATTGAGTGGATTGACTCTAACCGGATGTGAGATGTTCCACCCGTTCGGGGTTGCCGCTGAGAGGCACCGCAAATTGAATTCGCTTAGCCGCAACCCCATAAATTAAGAGCCGTGGCATGCAACAAGCGCTATGCAAAATGAGATTGTCATAAAAGTAGCGAAAATGGCAAGCGGCAAGTAAATAGGCAAAACAGAAACAGCGGGGTAGATGCCACCGTGCAGCGTGCATCCTTGTCCTTGCCAAAACGAATTTTACCCCCTCCTCCTCTCCCTCCCCCTCCCCGTCCACCACGCTTCTCTCAAGGGTTGCAACTCAATTAGAAACGTTTCGGCGACGGGCACTCGAGCAGCGCCGTCTTTCGCTATGAGAGCCGTGCACATCGAGCAGGGGTCCAGAGTTAAAAGTATTGAGAACTTAAGTTCAGCTCGAGATTGGCAAATGTTAACAATTTGCAAGTGGCACAGTTTACGGGGCACGTTGCGCTCTCGCTTCCCAGGCAGCCAAAATGCAACAGTTTTTCGAGCACCATGCCCCACAGTCAAGAGGCCCATTGATATCTCGAGCGTTCAGCAGGACTCGTGTGTCAGCTCGCATTAGCCTCAGGACGCGACTCTTGAGCTGAAAAAAAGAGCACTCGCTGCCACTCGATAGCCACTCGGCTGCCACAGTTGGAAAAACAAAAGTTCTCGCATATTTTCGATTGCTCTTTTTACTTTTTCATTTCTCAGTTTTTTTTTCTTTTATTATTCATTACAACACACAATAGACGTCTTAAGACTAGGCACAAAAAAATTTTAAAGTTTATAAAAAAAAAATATGGTTTAAAAAAAAAATTCCCTGCTTATGTACAAAACATTTACAAAAATTTACAAAAATTCGTTAAGCTACTTTTTAAATAGTTAGATTTATATATTAAAAAAAATGTATATATATATATATTTAATATATATTTTATATTTGTTTAATGTGAGACATTTACGTGGGGCAGCTGAGCATACAGCTGGGTGTCTTGGAGCTGTCCCGTTGTAATCGCCGTCTGAGATCCAGCCTTGAGCCGAGCGCTCATACCTCCAGCGCCAGCTCGTCATCGTCCTCATCCTCATCCACCTCGACCGCTGGCAGCGTCGTCAGCTCAATACGCTCCGACTCCGATTCGGACGTTTTGGCCGCGTTCGGTGGCGCCTCCTCGGCGGCATGCTCCCGTCGCGTTGGCGGACTGCCTGGATTGAGGGGCGGGCTTGGCGTCAACAGACGCTGCCGGCTGCTGCTGCTGCGCTCGTATTCGGCTTCGCTGTTGGCGCTCTGGCTGGTCGCCGGCGAGCGTTCGCGCGGCGCCAACGGCGGCGCATAATAGCCGCTCAGCATGGGCGCGGCACCTGGCGGCGGCGGCATGCCCGGCAGCCCCATGCCCGGTGGCATGCGACTGGGGTACATGTAGGTCGCGGGCAGCGCTGGCTTCTGGAGTGCGGCGGCTGCTGCCGCTTGGCGATAGTATATATCAATGGCCGAGGGCGGTGCACCGTGCGGTGTCTGTGCTGCCGCAGCGGCTGCATACGGCCAGGCGCTCAAATAGGGCGTGGCACTGCCATAAAGCCGCTGAAAGGCCGCATAGTTGCCAGCCTCGGCGAGCAGCTCCAGCCCGACGGCGGTTTGGCGCTTCCATTTGGTTCTGTGGCGGGAGGCAGGAAAGAAAAAAGCAAAGGGAACACTCGATTAGTTGCGTGCGAGAGCGTGTCGAATGCTAAAAAAGAAAGACCTCGAACAGGCATTGGGCATCAAGGGATCGAGCTAAGCCAAACTAATCCGGCAACTGTTGTTGTTGCTATTAATCATGCCACAGAGTGCCGACTCATGCCGCTGACTGCGCGTGTCCCTGCCGCCTGCTGAGCGCCAGCCAGGACGCTGTCGCTGCTCTTTGCTATTATTGCTGTTTATATTTCGCACTTAATTGTTTTGTCATTTATCTTGCAGTCCGGACGCACTCACGCCCACCACAACTGCAACGGAGACGCGGCGAGAGAGACCAGGCTGAGGCCTAATTGGCATTGGCACGCCTGCATTTATGGCAGCGAAAGCGAGAGAGAGAGCGGGAGAGAGAGAGAGGCCTGTATCTGGACTCCCTCTCGCTGGCGTATCTTTGGCAAATCCTTTAATTGCGTCTAGGCGCCAGCCACAACCCAAAAACCGAAACCTCGACCCCGAACTGAGCTGCAATTTTTGCGCGTTCATCGCACGCAGCTGTGAAAATGTTTAGAATTAACAAAACATACCCTATGCGCCTGGGCATATTGATTATATGAGGCATTTTGTGCGCGTCTTTGGCGTAGTTTTCAAAATATGCAGAGTGTTTCGGAGTGAGGATTTCGTGTCTATCTCTATTTCTCGCTATTCTCCGCTCTCTGGCTCTACTATAAATCTCGCTGGTTACACGCAGAGCATTTGCTATTCATATTGTCTAGTATACCAGCCCCTCTCCCTCTTTTTCTCTCTGTCTGCTTCTCTTTCACTATCTCTTTCTCCTTTTCCCCCTCTCTTTGGCTCTTTCTCGCTGGTTCTACTGTAGAACATTTACTATTCGTATTGTCTCATATCTCAGGCTCCTCTATATTTCTCCTATTCTCACTCACTTCCTCTTTTCCCTTTTCTCATTCTTTCTAGCTGTCAATGAAAAAAAAATTATTAGTACTACTATCTAATATCCCTCTCTTTCTCTCTCTATATCCTCATCTCTCTTTTTGTCACTTGCTGATTCTACTGCAAAACGTAATATCTGATATCCCCTATATCTGTCTCTCCGAATGGCCACTTTTATCTCTTCCCTCCTCTCTCTCCCTCTCTCTCTTTGATTGCAGAGCATTCGCGAGTCATTATGCCCAGCATGCGAACCGTACTCAATATCCGGTTGGCTTTTGCTCAGCGAGTGGCCTGCAAGATGCCAAGTCTGTGGCCTGGGTCTGGTTCAACTCTGGTTCACTCTCTCTCTCTCTCTCTCTCTTTCTCTCTCTCTCTCTTTCTCTCTCTGTCTGTCTGTCTCTCTGCTCTAGCAGCCGCTTTTAATGCCCAACCAAATGTGACAAGTCATTGGGCAATAATTAAAAAAAAAAAAAAAGAAGAAAATAAAAATAAAATGCTATTAAACGTAATAAGGCAGCGGCTTTGGCAGCTATTTTTAAACAGCAGCGGCAAATGCTATTAGAAATCGAATCGAATAGCGGATGACGCCGAACCGCCCCCCGATAGGGAGCAGCAGCGGACACATGCGAGCGAAAATACGCCAGACGAAAGACTTAGGCAACAAACTTGCGTAGAGTGGCGCACAAAAAAAGTAAACAACTCATTTAATAAACAGCAAAGCATTTTACGACTCTTGCGCAAAATGCAGCAAATTAAGCAATCAGCATAAAAACAAAACGCATAAACAGCCCCAGCGCTGATTCCGAACCGGTCGTAGCTTCGTGAGAGCAGTGCAAGGGAGTGATGCTGGAGGGGGGTTGACGACTTTGGGGTAGCCATTAAAATGATTTTTATTGGAAAAGTGCGCGAAGAAATGGGCGGTTCCATAAAAGGCGCTGATTAGCACACACAGTTCTAGTCGGTTTGAAGGCATTCCCGTCCCTGCCCGACCTGCCGAACCCTATGCCGCCGATGCCTGCTCAATTAAGCAGAAGTCAAAGAGGCCGCCAACTCACCTGCGATTCTGGTACCAGGTCTTCACCTGGCAATCGCTCAGCTCCAGCTTGTTGGCCAGCTCCATGCGATCCTGTACGCTGAGATATTTCTGCCGCTCAAAGGATTTCTCCAGCGTCTGCAGCTGATGGTCCGTAAAAGCGGTGCGCGCCTTTCGCTGCTTCTTGCTCAGGCTGAGGCCCAAATGGGACTCGCCATTGGCGCCGCTATTCCCATTCTTCAGGCTATCCTCGCCATCGTCGTCTTTGCCACCTGTGCGCAAGTGAAAAGTAAAACAACTGTTGCATAAATTCATTCAATACATCTCTCTCTTCCTCCCTCTTTCTCGCTCTCTTCCTTTCTAGCATCCCATTTGTGGGGTATTTAGCTTTATGGCTAGAACACATGCAACACCTGATAACAACAACAACAACGACAAAGTTGCCTTCAAGTTTGTGGCATACCATTGCTAATTTGCAATTAAACACTTTATGAGCACAAATTACAAAAAAAATTACAGCAACAACAACACGATCAGTCGATTGAGCTCTGAGTTTTGTTTTTGTTTTTTTTTTTTTCGTGGAACGTGTGAAACGAAGCCGAACAAATCGCAAAGCGAACGCCTAAAGTGCTCGCGATTTTACTCGCTCCCCAATCAAATTGATTCATTGATTCATTTGACTTTTTGCTGAACCTATTCAGACTTTTAGAGCAGTTTGTAAGGTCCATTTGCAGATGTAAATTAAGCATACGGGTATTTGATTAAAGCTGGCCAAACACAAAGATGATTGTCATGCTCTTGTAGAGGGTATTTTGGCACGAAACACCCGAAAGGAGATATATCCGTACCCATATATATATATTCTTGATCTGCAGCAAAAAACGAGTCGATAAATTACTGCAGGCATTTCAGATGTGCGAATCGTCCGGATCGGAGCACTATATCATATGGCTGCCATAGGAGAAAACCCTTCTTGATTTTCAAAATATCTTGACTTAACTTAACTTAATTAATTAATTAGGAAATTAGTCTCGCCTGAACAAAATCATATCAACATAACTATATATATCATATAGCTCCAAGCGAAAAATCGATCAAGAAAAGTTGTTGCATGTAAAATTTTACTTTTTTTCAAATAAGTATATATGAGCAAATTAATATCCTAACAGTTTTGCAAAATATATATTAAATATATATACAGCTAGATTGATGGTAGAGTCTTGATATGGAATGGTCGGCTTGTACTACGTGCAAAGTAGAGAAGCCTTTTAACGCGTGAAGTTTGGCAGCAAAGAGACAAGCATAAATATTTCGAGATTCTGCCCAGTTCCCTTAGAATTGATTGTTTTTTAAAATGAATTGAACATTTGTTGTTATTCGCTTCACTTCTATTTTAAAATATACATATATATATATATATATATATAACTTTGTACATGAGTGTCTCCTGGTCGAGCGCTTTCGTCTTTTTGCATCTGTGAATTCTTTTCACGGTCCCGTCTTGTCAATATTTGGCCAGTACCCATTTTGGCGTACCATTTTGAATAAATTATAAATATCTCAAAGCAGCATCTCACAAGCCACCATGCCACACTTGCCACCATCTCTTTTGCTCTCTCTCTCTCTCTCTCTCTCTCTCTCTCTCTCTCTCTCTTGATCTCTCTCTCTCTTACTCTCACTGTTTGCCTGGCCATTATCGGCCCAGCAAACACTTGACTTTTGCATTAGACCAGCTGCCAACAGCTGCAGCTCTACAGCTCCTCAATGCATTCGTTTCTCCTCTGGCCGCCGCCCGCAGCTCCCAGGAATACTCTAGACGAGTCAGCTTGAACAGCAGATAGCCTGAATCCAGCTATAAAGTGTCTTAGCAGCAGCCAAACTTGTTGCTGGTTCGGTTCATGGCTTGTACTAACTGAATGCTCTTGGTTGCAGATCTTGAAACTGTTTGGTTCGGGCTTCGATTGAGCTGTTTCTTGCCAACTTCTTTGGTTTACGGTTCGGTTCAGCTCCAAAACAGGTTTGCAGCCCTGCTGAGCACCTGTTTATGCTCACCCAGACTCGATGCTTGATTAATATTTAAGCAAACTTTAAGTTGTAAACATTTAAACGGCAAACGCGTCGTATATCTAATGTTTATGAACAAATTTGTAGCACGAGCTGCCTACTGCTGTCTATTACACACATTGCCAGCATATAGTTCTATACCCTTCTTGTGTGTGTGTTGAGGCAGGGTATGCATGAAAAACCAGCCAACAGCTGGCAGCTGCTCTCGCGATTGGCACTAGTCAAGAGTCAGTCAGCAAAACATTTCCGCAATATCTCTATCCCTCTCATAACTCTCCTCGTCCCCTCCTCCTTTCCCCCCACACACATGCACAGTCTTTGCATTTGTAATTAAGAGCTTGTGGCTAAACTGTATTAAACATGCTTAAGTGTGCAGACAACAACGACGGTGGCGGACTTCCTTCTGCCTCTGCCTGTCTGTCTGTCTCTGTGTTGAACCAACTGTTGGCCAAGTCTTGTTGTTGCTGTTGCTGTTGGCTGCATTTAATTGCGCATGGCAGCAACACATTTGCAATTGGCCTTTTTGCATTTTAATTAAAGCAACAACAAAAACAAAGATTACAATTGCAACAGCAACAACAACAACAACAAGTCTCATTTAGCTGCTTTGCTGGGCTCTCTTTGGATTCTTGCTGCTAAACGTTTATCAGCATTTTGATAATGTGCACGCTTAAATGCAGTCAGCGGCGGCAGCACCAGCACCAACAACAGAATGTTAATGCTACAATAAAGCTTGCATAACGGTAACGCGATTGTATGCATTATCATATATAACTATGCATTGTGTCTAGCAAAATTTTGCGCTACATTTCCGAAAACAAAATCACAAGGAAAAACGAAAGACTTAGGCAACAAACTTGCAGCTTGCTAAGCCAAGTGCGCGCGCGTGAATGCATGTATTCAAGTGTGTGTGTGTGTGTGTGTGTGTTTGCACTTTCTGCTTGCAGTTTTGGTTGCTGTTGTTGTTGTTGCTGCTTTTAGCGGCCACACGCTTCGCTTTGGAAGCCAACTCAACTTAAAAAAAAAAAAAACGAGACGAAACCAAATATTAATTTCAATCAGCGATATGTTATATGCATATTTATATATATATATATATATAAATCAACAAAAAAAAAGAAGAAGAAGAACAAGAAGAAGAGGAAAAAAGGCATACGAAGCTAAATGTGAGACGGGCTGAGAGAGAAGTGTGATACGAGTGTCTGCATGTCGCTGCGGATCAGCGCACAGTTCATTTGACAGACGGCAACTCAGCTCTGAGTAGCGGCTCGAATCAAGCTAAAGCTCAATTTCAAACGCGCTGCGCGACTGCGATCCGAGAAGCGCCTTATCGTTGCTCGCATCCTGATCGATCCTGGGCCCCGTCCGAGCCTGAGCAACTGTCGCTCGCACGCGTCTCAAGTGACACGCGAGTGTCACCAAAGCCTTCGGCCGTGAGCAACAAATTTGAATTGTGAGCAACAAGAATGCGCATCGATTTCTGCTTGCGAGCCTCGATTAGGCCGTTAAAAGCTACGTTTTTGCAGCGCTTTAAAACGAAACACGCCAAAAAAAAAGATAGAACGACAGGCCGAAGATTAAATACCCTTCTAGACATTTGGTATTATCAAGCACGAAGTTGTTGCATTTGGTCAAGATATCATGAAAAACAGACAACTTATCCATATAAAAACTTATTTTTCAAATTATTCTTGCTATAGATCTATATGATATAATAGAAGTTCATGAGATTTTGCTCACAGCCAAGTAGCAGGATACAACTTTTGAATGCTAAACTTAGTTAAGATATTTTCAAAAACAAAAAGTTATTCATACAAGAACTTAATCAATGCGATCGTACGCTTCAAGCTATTATATTCCGATCATCCGATCCCAATACATGTACCTTGCAGAGCATCTAGGTATCTACATATTTTGTGGCTACACCTAAGCACAAGGTCCTACACCTTACATAAAAGAGTTCTTTTCAGCTTTGCGGGGTATCCGAAAAGAGAAATGTTCTAGATCTCAGCATAAATTCTATATTTTATAATCTCCCAGATTTTCTCGATAGTTTCTACTTCAAAATCGATATTTATCGAAATTTTGGACATGATGAACAAGAATATATATACTTTATGGACTCGGAGAAACCAGCTTCTGCCACTTTTTAATCCCTTTCAATGGATGCTGGGTATTAAAATATAATAAAGGGAAAAAAATCTGTTTTTTTCGTTTGTTTTACTTTTCATTTTTGTAATTTTTTTTTATATATATTTTCTTTTGACTGCCTCGAAATCGAAGCTCGCAGCGTGGGCTAAAAAGTCGACCCAACTGTGAAAGAGAATCGACACCCAGCTGATTAAAAGCGTGAGCGAGCGAGTGTGTGTGTGTGTGTGTGTAAGTGTTTGTGTGTGTGTGTGTGGGATGTGTGTGGTGTTGCCAACACATTTATGGATTTAAAATTTCTATCATTTGGCTTGTGTCTCAAATCAAAACAGAATTTCTTGAATTGACAGCAACGCGGGGCGCATTTCTCTCGCTCTCCACACGCACCTATAGATATGTGTGAGTGTGTGTGTATGTGTGGCTGTGTGTATTATATCTATGATTGCTTTTAATTGACTTTAGCACAAGTCCAACGAAATTAAAAATGTGCGTGAAATCGCGGTTGACTTTAAAAACGTATTTGAGAATTTAGTTTATTAAAACGAATCAATAATAAGCTTCAACAGATTGACTTGTGCGCATATCGTGTCTAAACTTTGATTTATTGACACTGTATATATAACCTACTTTCACTGGTCGAATGTTGTACTATAGCCCATTAAGTATTTTCTTAGATCATTCGTATGCTCTCCAAAATAATTGGCCAGAAGTCTCGTGATCGTGAACAGCATGTCTCGGCTGAAGTTTAGCGAATTGTTGAATATCCACAAAACAAATTATCAGTAATAATATACAATTTGTATAATACTAAGAGAGTCTGAGTATATTATAATGAATTTGTTATCGTTCCTGTTGGCTTTATAAATATTTCATTGATTATATTTTTTGGATATTTTTTTCATCAACCTGTGACTAACAGCCGACTTTATATGACAATTTAATTGCAATTCATAAAATTCGTTTAGATGCAAAATTTTAACTAAATTCCAAAAAGTTGCATTAAAAGTTAATATTTAGACTTTGTTACTTTTACAAAGAAAATGTCGGCTCGAAATAATGTTTGAAGTGCAATGCAAGTAAACTTATTTTATTGCTATAGTTTTTCTTATTGCTTTATTTAGTTTAAGACTTTTTTTTTTTAATTAATTCATCGAAAGCCATGTGGTAATAGAATCTCATTAGCACTTGTCACTCGGCGCAGGCACATGCCTACAGATCCAAGCACACTTTATTTAAATGTCTCTCTTTTCCACTCTCTTTGCCTCTTACTCTCGCGCCCTCTCTACCACTCTCTCTCTCTCTCTCTCTCTCTCTCACTTATCATGCAGCTTGCTTTAACAACTCACACAACTCGCAGCGAAATCAATTTCCAACGCACGTTTATGACTATTTAATAGTAATTTGTCATAATTTGCATAACGTTTAAAAGCGCTTAACAAATAAATAATAATAATAAAAATAAGCAACAACAGAAATCAAATAGAAACACTCCTAATGGCAGCAGCAATAACAATAAAAACGCAAACAACAACAACAACAACAACAGCATTCAAAAACATTAAAATCAATTAAACTGTTGCATGCGAAAAGCTGTCTGGGGTCAGGTGGCAGGTGGCATGCGGCGGCCAGTTAACGAGAGGGGGGGGATGCGACAGGGCGCAGAACGTGGGCATCTCTTGTTGCTGTTGTTGTTGTTGTTGTTATTTGGGCATTCTGTCAAGGGTAGCTAGTTGCTAGTTGAGCGATTCGAACCGAATCGAGTCGCATTCGCATTGCATTCGCATCGCATCGCATCGCATATGAACGCCGACTAATTCTCCGCTCTCGGAGCTTGTTCGCGCTGATAATTGTGCACATACAAACTCGTAAATGGCCAAATAATTAAATACTGTGAATATTTAGCTACTTTGTTGCCACGACGCGTGATTGTCGGTCTGTCTGGCCGAATGTCTCGGCTCAGCTAGCTCAGCTGCTGTTCTTGTTGTTGTTCGCTTGATTCATATACATATCTTAAGCAATGTCATACGAATTTTGTTTTTTTTTTTTTATACAAATGTTTGTAACAGTCAGAAGTAAGCATCTCCAACTTCTTAAACTATATATTTTCTTGAGCAGCGCCTAAAAAGTCCAGAGACTTGAATTGTTGTATATATTTGTTCGTATACCATACACAAACCGAGTATATTCTTATTTCTTATTCTATCTTTAAGCATTTTCATATTATCGAACAATTTCCATTTGAGTACATGGTTTTTTAAACTTAACTCGAATATTATTGGAGCCAGCTTCACAAAACTTGGCATTTAGGTAATCGGATAGTTTAAGCAGATTCCCCCTAAATTAAACTTTAAAAAAAAAACCATAGGTGAAGCCTTGCACTTTGGTATATACACACTTTTGTATGCCATATTTAAGCACTGAAAATTGCAAAAAGATCGGACTATAAATGCCTAAGTAAATTAAGGAAGAAATAAATATAGTGTGGGACTAAGGAAAGAAAACGCACAGCGTTTGCGTGTTTTTGACCATGTATGTCGCTGGCCCTACAGGGTATCTCCTTATATAGCTGAGGCTGAAAAAACACCTATTTGTTGCTGTGTTATATTCGGTTTATTGCAGTTAGCGCGGGCATTACGCAGAAAATGGGAACGCGCCTTGCAGCTGGATCTGAGAGCCATGAAAATGGGAAATCTTTGAAGGAAAAGAGAGAGAGAGAGACATTTTGCACTCAATACTTCAATATTTCTTATCACAATAATCGCAAATTTAATCCGCAACAATATTCAAGATGATCAGCTGCAAGTCTTACATAACTGGGAAGGCCTTCACAAAAAAACTGAAAGCTCTCGTAAAGTTTATTTAAAGCTCGCCTTAAGCAAATCATCAGTTATTATTTTAACACATTTTTTTACTCGCACATTTTTTTAAATGAAACAATTTATGTCAACGCCAAATAACATAGCAGAGCTTAAAAGCTTTTTTGAAAGCTTTAAGCAAAAGTTATTAGGGCAAGAGCTTAACAGGATATTTGAATACAGCGAATAAGTAAAAAGTGTTACTCGTTTACCTTAATTTCGTATGCTATATTAATACCTAGAAAATGATGTTTAGAAGCGGCTCAAAAAGTGATCGACATACCTAAAGCTCACTTAAAGCTCACCTAACAAAAGTTTAAGCTGAAGCTTACAAAAAGCTGCTTTAAGATCGGTACAATTAGGCTTTCATGCTTCAATTCTTTGAAAGAGAAAGTAACAGCACTCCAAATGCTTTCCCATTCTGGATTTGGAATCAGTTAGAGCTTTCCTTACTTACCGCAATCGTCGCTGTCGCTGTCGTCAATGGTGCTCGCCTGATCCCCGCTGATGCTGCTGCCGGTGCCGCCCAGCAGCAGGCCGCTTGTGTTGCCGTTGTTGTTGCTGTTGCTACACCCACTAATGTTGTTGTTGCTGCTGCTGTTGTTGCTGCTGTTGTTGTTGTTGTTGTTGCTGTTGTTGTTGTTGCTGCCGCCCAGCGAATGTAGGACGAGCGGCGAACGGGATCGTTCGTCTTGGCCCTCCACATGACCCGATGCGCCGCCGAGCGGCACGCCGGCGCCATGACGATGCAGCGCCTCAAGACGTTCGCGCTCCAACTGCAGCTGATGATGATGCGGATGCGCATGCGGATGCGGATGATGGGCAAGTGGATGTTGCGGATGTGTGTGTGGATTTAGCGGTTGTGCCTGCTGCCCGCAAAGCCAACAGCAGAAAGTACAAAATAAATGGCTTAGTAATCTATTAAGGCTATATAATATTTATTAGTCTTATACTCAAACAATTAGAGATATCTGCATTACCCCTAAGAAACCCAAATTTACTTTAAAAAACTTTCAGATAAACACATTTTGAAGAAAAAGGGCGTTGTCTAAAAACTAAAATATACTCCTTCAACTTAATTTAACACAAATGTTTAAGTATTTTGCTAGACTTTTGGCAGGGAACACTTTCCAGAAAGTCTTAGACAACTTTATTTTAAAAAATAAAATAAAAATATGCATTTTTGAAAATTCATGAAATTTTTAAGTCAAACCAAATTGGTCAGCTTGCAATAATCGCACCTCAAATTGCAACTTTCCGGAAATTATCATAATTATATTCAAAGCATTTCAAAGAGTTCTAATGATGGTCAAGATCAATCAAGATGCAGCTATATTCATTCAATCCACAAATGTATCGAAAAAGAAATAGTATCATAAGTTTTGCATATTTGATTGACTGTCAATCAAGGTGTATATACCTTTAGCCATACCACAAGTAAATCAAAGAAGAATATAGTCACAAGTATTTCCTGATTGCCAATTAACATATCAGTTCAAGCAGTTATATTGTTTGTCAATCAAGATGTATCTATATTTATTCATTTCAAAAGTGACTCGGCAACACCATATTGACAAGTGTTCACATGATGATCAATCGAGATGTATGTATATTAAGCCATACTATATGTGAATATTTATTCAAAGAGTACGAATAATTATCAATCAATGTATATATATTAAGCCATAATCTGATAAACAATTAGCGTCTTAGCAGAGCATCTCAGAGAGAGTTCGTTTGACTATCAATCAAGATGTATCAATAATTACTCATTCAAAAAGTGAATCAAAGCTAATATATAAACCTAAGCACATACTAATTAATAAATGGCGAGACATAGCATCTTATCGCTAGAGCTCTAAATGAATGTCAATCATGATGTATCTATAATAAGTCATTCCATAAAGCTAATTAGACCTCACAAAATTGTAACACTGGTTAATTGTTTGCAAGCACTATAACATAGAGACCTTGATTGATTGACTGATCAGTTGATTGATTGCTTGGCAGTTCACTTACCGTATTCCACGCAGCTGTTGTGTGGCAATCCTTGGACAGCGGCGGCGATCCTTCGCGACCCGCTTGCCGGGCGAAACGATGTAGATGTGCGTGTGGATGCTGTTGCTGCTGTTGGAGCACCGCATAGTGGCTGGGTGGAAAGTGGGCAAGCAGCGGGGCCACATGATGATACTGTTCCCGCTCGCGTTCGCGCTCACGTTCGCGCTCGAAGCGCAGCAATTGCTGCTGCTGCGCCAGATAATGCTGCAGTGCAGCCTGCTGCTGGGCTTGCTGCTGTGTCTGCTGCGCTTGCTGCTGCTGTGGATCGCGGGTTGGCGGCGGGGCGTAGCAATCTTCCGGCGGACTGGCGGAACTGCGTCCGGCAGCGGCAGCCATTGCGGCGGCAGCGGCAGCAGCCGCAGCAGCAGCGGCGCTCCCCGCCAGAATGTCGGTGATCATGAAACGGGAACGCGGCGCCTGCGTGGCCGAGGGCGAAGTCGTGAGACTGCCCGGTGTGTCCCCAACGGCTGCCGTAGTTGTGGACATTTCCGGTGGCATTGTGGTCATGTGGTGGCGCCGACTCTTTTTGACTTGTCTCTCTACCACACTGCGCTTTTTTATTCAAGCTTTTGCCGACGGCACAAACCAAAATCAAACAACAACAACAAAAAAATAATTGGCGAAATTTTCCCGATTAACGGCGCTTTCGTCTATGTTTATGCGTATTTGTGCTTTGAACTCGCGTGTTTGTTTTTCAGCTCGCTGTGTATTCAATGTCCGTTGTACTTGACGATGTTTTTCTTCGACAAGACGAGACGAGACGAGCCGAGCTCAACAAAAGCCGTGAGAGAACCGCTCGCCTTTGGCTTTCAACCGAAACTGAGCCAAGCGGCGGCCAAAGCGGCAACTGCTGCTGCTGCTGTTGCTGCTGCTGCTGCTGCTGCTGCTGGCTGTTAACGGCCAAAACAAAAACAGTAAATAAGTGGGGAGAACTGACAACAGGAAAAACAACAACAGCAAACAAACCAGTCGAGTGCCAAGCGCGCACCTGTCGTCGTCTCGCTCACACACACCCGCGTGCTCTGCTCTCAGCCGTGGTGAGTTTTGCTCTTTGTATTTGTTGCTGTTGTTGTCATCTATTGCCTGCATTTATTGGTCGTAATTGGCAGCAATTGACATTCATTAGGTTTCAATCAGCGCCAGCGTTCTCACTGTATTTCTTTCTCCCTCTCTCGCTCTCTTTCTCTTTCTCTCTGCGTATGTGTATGGGTGCGAGAGTGTAGTGGGTTGAGTACATTTGGCAATGGCCGCGACGCTGTGAGAGCCGACAGCTAACATAACGGTTAGTTGACGTACCATAAACATTTTATGGCAACGTTAGTATTGTTGCTATTGCCTTTACTATTGCCGCGTGTTGTTGTCGCGCTGAGCTTGTAAAAATCTAGTACTTAGTAGTAGTACTTACACCGACATACATATATTTGTATTTGTGTTTTAAGAGCTGGGCGACACTTTTTATAGCAACTCTCCGAACTCAACACAGCGCTGAGCAGCAGCTGCTCTTGTTGTTGTTGTTGTTGTTATTTTGTCGTCATGTTGTTGTTGTTGCTGTTGCTGATGCTTAGGATGCTTCAACCCCGTTGTGAGCAGCAGAAACAAGTACAATCCAGCATCTGTAAGCTCCGCCCCAATAAACTGGTTAACACACGTACACACACATTCACACACACATGCACAGCATACAAAAAGACAACTCACGCACTCTTGCCCGTCTTGGTCTCACCACAGTTATATAGCGTGCTTGCTCTAACACATGTCAAGACTGTTGCGCCAAAGGGGCTGTCTGGATGCCAGGCTCTTTTGTGTGTGTGTATGTCTGTGTGTGTGTGCGTGTGTTAGTGTCTTTTGTTATTTTTGCGCTTGTTAACACTTTTTGTTTGGCATTTAAACAGTAAATTGGCAGCAGTTAAATGATGCCCTCTCTCATTCGCTCGCTCCCTCTTACGCTGTTGGCCTCTCTCTCGCTCTCGCACTTAGAGAGCATGTATAGTTTGGGTGTAGTAGTTGTTTAGTATCGATGTCAATTTGCTGCCTAATGTGCAAGTGAATGACTCTGGCAACTGGATCGGGTACATAATATAAGAGTAAAGGTGGCCTGGCGGAGCTTGCGATGGAACTAGGGTGGGGGCGCTAAGGTATCGAGAGAGGGCAGTGGCCAGGCGCTCGGGGCGGATGCTGATGCCGAAGCTGTTGTTGTTGCTTTTGTTTTGATGATGGAGTTCGCTTCAGGCAACTGCAGTTGTTTTTTGTTTGTGTGGATGCTGTTTTTGCCGTTGTTGTCGTTGTTGTCGTTGTTGTTGTTACTTTTCAAAATGGCTTCATTACAAATGACTACAATTGGCGCTGTTGTTACTGATGATATTGTTGCTGCGGAGCACATCTTATTATTGCTTTGCATGCAGATTGTCATATGTGTGTACTATGCATATATTTACATACTGTGCGTATTGACCCACAGTTGTTGCAGTCTGATTGTGTTTTCGTTCCTGCAGCTGAATTTAATTAATAGGTTCGAAGGAACAGTCTGAGAGGAATGCTCACAGTTCTTCCTATGTACATGTGTGTGTACATATGTATTCACATTTGTGGCAAAAATAATATTAGTGCATGCAATGCATTCAAAAAAACTAAAAAATATGTACATTTAAATCAATTTTTATTTAAATAAAATATTTTTAAAAATCTAGTTAAGAAATTTACTTTATATAACGTGAGTATAAGATTACTCAACAAAAATTGGTGTAGATAATCAATTTATCAATTTAAAAAACAAATGCAGTACGCTCATGATTTTGATTATGTTTCACTAAGTGATTTTGTACAAGCCGCAAAAATGTCTATAGCACAATGTAGACGTTTACAGGGAGTCGCCTAACATTTCACCTGCCCGTAGACGCATCCTCTCCCACTAAGATATAACTTTAAATTCTGCACAATACAGACGTTTAAACGAAGGACACGCCTTCGATCTTAATGAAAGTTTAAGGGCTTAAATTTTGTTATGTCCAGTCTTGATTTTTAATATTTTGTTGAATAAACCCTTTTTGCAATATGACCAGGTCTGGTTTTGGTATCTCTCCTGAGTAATATCCAGGAGGGATAACCGGGAGCTCTTGACAATCGCTCATAATTAAGCTCTAATATATTTTAAAAATACTAAATCTTAAACAATTTTAATGGCACATGGTAAATAGGGGTAGGGTTTTCCACCCCTTTTTACCCAAACCCCTTTCATTTTATACTAACACCACTTTCAAAAAAAAAACCTTTTTCCGTGTTTCAAAACTGATATCTGATAATTGAAAATCTTTAGAGCTAACTTTCCGGGGTAACAGTTATTTAAGATTTTGAAAAAAATGTTCAAAATTATAAATTTAGTCTAACATTTAAAATAAGAATATTTGCTTTCTTTTAGCTAGACATTATGATATATATTATATATTATATTTTATGATATAAGTATATTTAGTTTTTATGCCCAACATTTAAGTCTCCTCTTTAAACTTTAGTTATAATAGCACGGAACCTGTTATTACCAACGTTTCATGTACTTTAAAACTCGCCAAACTTCTTTATAAAAGTTTTAATATTATTTCAAATTTATTCCTGCCCTGGCTAATTGACTGACTGACTGATAATTATCGCTTAGCCTAAGTCGAACGTTAAGACGTTAAGAAACTGCATTTTTTACTCCAGTTATTTTTTTTTACGCTAGGCGAAGTTTTTGAAAATTCATCGAACACTTGTCAAAAGAGGGGGAAATTATTTACCCGATTTCCATAGATTTTCACAATCTAAAATTTCGGAAAATCCATTTAAGAAACATGGGGAAATCGACTGAATCGACCAATACATACACATGTACTTACATCGCCAGCTTCTTTTATGGCAAACGCATTTCTTTCAATTTATATTGCAAGCCGCCATTTTGAGGTTGACTCTCATTAACGGCTAACGGCACTTCTGCCTCTCTCCTGTTCACCCAATAGGAGCTCCACAACGAAGCGAAAATTAAAACACAGCCGCAATGGAAGTTCATTAAAAATAAAAAACAAAAATAAATAAATAAAAACAAAAAGAAAGCAAAAAAAATGAGTGAGAAAATGTTCACACTCGTCCCCCAAGTTATTTAAAAAGACATTAAAAATGACACATGATGTGCAGACGTGACAGACAGACACTGGCTGCAGAGGCAGAGGCAGAGGAAGAGGCAGAAGGCGGCTGCGAGTGGTGGCCAGTGATTGCGTGGACTCATTAAAGTGGCCACCTAATGCCCAACTGGCCATTAATGTGGTGGCATACCAGGCAGACAAGGGATCGGGGCAGAGGCAGGGGCAGGGGCAGGGGCAGGGGCAGGGGCATAGCGATTGATGCTTGGTTAGTTGCGTGTAATTTTCACACCGTTGACCAAGTTATTTTAATTAGGTCTTGGCACTCAGTCAACGTTGCCGGCAGAGGTAACAGAGCCCAATCGCAAAAGCCAGCACAACCAGCACCCACCATCCGCCGCCCACCACCCACTGATGGTTGGAGGTGGGCGTGCAACCCCCAAGGGATGCGCTTAAGTGGCTTTGGGATGGGCATGGCTAGGCTTTGAAGGTGTCGTAATTGCACTCAGCTCGCCTGATTCCCGATAAAAGTGCTCAGCGCGCGGGAGACCTGGTGTGGGGTGCGGCAAGAGGAATTCGGGGGGAAACGTTTCAACGCAAACAAATTAAAAAGCACTTAACAGACTAAAGCAGCAACAGCAGCAGATGAGGAGGGCAGCTCCTCCTGCTCCTGCCAGGCGCCGTTGCCGTTGCGTGCGCTGCCACCAGGCTGGAAGATCATTTAGATCTCTGTCAACGCCGCGAGCCGCGATCTGGGAGCTGCGATCTGGACTCTGGGAGTTGGGAGCTGTGTGAGCTGTGAGCTGTATCCAGCCCTAAGCTCGTAAATTTCGAGACTTTGGCCTGGCGTGTGGCGTCAGTCAAAGCGAATTCAAATTGCCCAAGTTAACATCCTGTTGTCGGTTCTGTTTGGAGAACTCGAATCGGCCGCTTCTTAATTGAGGTTTAACACAACATTTACCGCTTTTTGCTAATCGCCTTGAAGCCGCCGCCGCCGCCGAAGACGACGACGACGACGACGATGATGACGACGTCGTCGGGGTGTGGCTGTCCAGAGAGTCGAGATTCAGCTTTCAGATCTAGGTGCCAGTCCCTAACCCAAAATCCAAACGTACCAAAGCAAACCCTCCCCGTACGTGATTTCATTCATAAAAAATCGAGCTCTGCGTTTTCCTGTTTTCTGTTTTCTGTTTTTGGATTCGGCTTAATAACAACACGTCATGTCATTTCATTTTCGGCCAGAGTCTCGGACAGCGTCCCCCAAAACCATTCTTCATCCACAACTATATATAAGTATATATATATATATATATATATATATATATATATATATATATGTATATCGGAATACCCCTTCTCCCCAGCCCCATTCCACGTAATTCCGAAGCCCATTGAGAA